GTAGGAAAATGATTTTTTAATCTGAGGGACTACTAATTATGCATCGTTTCAGTTCGATTGTTTCAAATGCTAGGCCAAAAAATGTTTCGCTTTATCAGATGTACTGCTAAAAAAGTAAAACAGCTGTAATCTTTTAACAGAATTTCTTTTTGAACCGGCTGTAACAAAAGCAGGAACCGAAGGAACTTCCCATGTCAATAAAGTGCCTTGCGTAAAGTAGGGAAGTAAGAATAGTTTTAAAGAATCTGCAAACTTAGTCGAAGATTTATTTATAGCGCGTATATTTGAATAAAAATCAGTTTTTCTTAAGTAACATATTATAGGCTATGATTTAAGGGCGGGAAGGCAGTAGACTGGTAGATATATCTGATCATTTTCAGAATAATTGAACAGTAAGACATTTTTAAATTTCTGTATCAGATTTGGTATCCTGTTCGTAACTCTTTTGTGAAACTTCACTTTTTGACTTTTTCCGTTTAAAGTTTAATGGATATCAGAATAAAATGCTCATTTTAGAAATTCTTGAGTAACGGCTGAAGAAGAGGAAATCGTGTCTTTTTCAATGCACACTGGGTCTAGAAATGAAACTGTATACTTGCTTGAGACACGTTCACTGCAAGGCTAACTAGAACGGTAGATTAACCAACTGTTTGAGGCCAACTTGACTAGAAGTTCAACTAGTTCCCCATTGATCGGTTAATCTAGGTAATTTGTGGTTTGCAATTATGACTTAGATGATGAGTCAGAAGACGTTTTTTGAAACACCTTTTTTTAGAAGTTAAGAAAGATTAATTCAGTTATGGTTACCTCAGTTAACTTCCTTTTCAAACAAATACGCTACAGTGACCAATAGAAGAACATGCTTCTAAACACCAATTACTGCAGCTTGTAATTTATGGTGTTTAACAAATTTCAACCGAACGGTCATAATTTTTGCACTAAGATTTAATATATTTGAGATGTAGGGTTCCATTTGAGTGCTAGTACTCATGCCTTTGATACAGAAAGCAATTTTTATTCATAAGTTCACCGGAAGCTTTGTTCTCACAGTACTCAGGGAGATCAATTCAGTTGATATACAGCGTTAAAATAAGAGTATGGTATGACAAATTATATACTTAAATTCAATGATTTCTCTTTTTTACTAGTTGTTGGTTTTTTCATTAAACGGAGATATCGACTAGATATTCGTTCACTGCCAGCGGTCATTAGGTACAGTAGGAAGACAATCAGTAGTAAAAGCGACATGATCAAAAGAACGTACAAGGCGTTGATTGGAAAGCCACCAAATTTTTGATCCAGAAGGACCTGGAATAAAGTTTTAAACGCAAAAACGGCCTTATTCAGTAAATTAGAACAGTTGAGAAAAGAACAATTACCAAAAAGTTATTAAATTCTTCTCTTCCATTCAAAAAATGCCTGTTAAAATCAGTAGCTATTTGAGATCCTCTATCGACCATTGCGTCTACGTGCTGCCTCGACTAAATATTTAAAGGCATGTTTCTAATGCAAGTTACAATAGAACTTGTGGAATAGACTAAAACACTTAGGTTTTTACGTTGTTAAGGTGCACTACAGCTGACATTATTTTATTGAGATTGAAAGCTCTCTCAGTACTATAGACGAAAAAGTTTGGGATTCAAAAGTCTGAATCTTGGAGCAGTCGAGCTGTGCTAAATAAAATGGCTTACGTTAAGCACGAGATCGTTTATGTAGCCTCCGAGCCCTTCAATTTGGAAAATTACTCTATCCACTGAGTGGTTTCTTCCGCTGGCTTTTTCCGTAGTTGGTCCTGCTTCCATTATAGTCTCTTTTTATGCGAGTTCCTAAAGTTTTTAGACGTTTGGAGTTGACGCTTAATTTTGCAAGTCTGTCGTGAAATAATACCTGGTAATTCTTCAGACAGCTGCTACCTGATAGCATAAATCTGTCGTTATTGCTGTTTGATCTTAATTTTCAGAAAAGTTAGCCGCAGTACTTCGTCAAACTGTCCGCATGATAGCCGTATGGCTTCAATAATTAATTGAACCACCTCCTAAGGGTACAATGATTAACTGATCACCTCCTGAGGATACTAGAAGCGATAAATGATGACGGTAGGGATAAATTAGTAGTGATCTTTTAGTGAACATAAGGTAACAAACAAGTTTCCTATTTACTTTTTAAATGAAGTCTGTGAAAACAATTAACAGTACCAATCAGTAATCAATGTTCTTAGTGTTTCATAACTTAAATACTTTTTAAGGGCTTTTACTCGGTAATGATTATATTTCTTTTATTAATTGTACCCAGAACAGGCACCGCAGCGTCACTTGTAAATGATATAGAAATCAGAAATCAGACTAATATTTCATGGAGAAATACGAGAAAAGAAGTTGTCTACGAGTTACAAATGGAAGTGGTTCTACAAAATATTGATTGGAAGTCAAGATGAGTAAGCAACCAGAATGTGGTGACGCTTTGTAGAAAGTGCTCGATACGCACCACGTGGAGAGACTGCGCAAACATGGATTCGACTGTTCCGATGTTGTTGCGACAGTACGCAAAGCATTCAAAAACCAGAGAACATGATCTATGACCTGCTCAAAAGGAGAAGCTCTTGGGAGGCTGGAAGGAGGTCGTATTCAATGACAAAGGTCACTGGTCACCGTAAATATATACTCGAAGTCCAGTCTTTGCTTGGTGAACTCTACTGGGCAGTCGTCTTCTGGCTTTCATCCAATATCTACTTTTCAGTGCCTTATTCTGCCTTGTTTGCTAGTTGTACTCTTTTGGCAGCTATAAGTTTTCTTGCTTTGGTTGTTTTTTGTTTGTAAATTAAACTTCTTCCCGTTAGTCGTTTATTGGATTACCTACTTTTAAGTTCTTTGTCATATTTCAAGTTAAAATGAACCAATGATAGTGAAGTAGTAGTGATGCTTTTAGCAAAGCAGTTGTGCGGGGAAGTATCGGAAAGTGCTTTCAAAAATGTTTTTCTGATGTGACAGTGACGTTACTAGGCAAGGTGACTGTTCCCAAAAACTCTTCAGAGTGATAATTGGAAGGGCTTTTGAGAAGTAAAAGGTTGAGTGGAATAGGCCTTAGTATAGATCATCTGCTGTATAAAAAAGTTAGACTTTAATCCTGATAAAAAGAATTAAAGTTACTAATAAATTTCCGCTGCTTTTGAGTTTTCCGTTGTCGGGAGTTACTTATCGTCAACTTAGCGACGGTAATTGTTATAGAAACATTTTCTGCGAAGCTATTGTAATGCAGTCTTCAAAGTATGTAGCTGGTAATATGAGCTGTCAGGGGCTGATTAACACGTGTACTAATAGTCGTACAAAAGAAAGCTTGGGACATGCAGGGAAAGTGTTACAACAAAAATTTTCTGCTCAAAGAGGTTACTGTTGGTCGCAACATGGTTGTTGACACCATCGAAAGTTGATACGGCGGCAGGGACCCAAATCTTGTTGATCGTGACGTGAGGTAGTTTTATGAGATTACCTCGCTCACCTTGCATTTTTCAGGTGGTCATCGTTTCCGGGGCAAACTATTTGAAAAAAAGACTGAAACTGTTGGTATATTACTGTGTTGTAAAGTCGTGAGTGTGGAGGTATCGGTAAGTGTTATATCTCCTGTTAGTAATATGTGACGGGGGACGAGTAGGTGCGAAGTTCACGTAGAGCTTAGGATTTCTCGCTTAATGCTGATAACAACTGATATCATATACCCTCCTCAAGTAGATGAAATGCAGTAAGCGTTTATGGTGTGAGAGACTAAACAATTGGCCGAACATTATAATATCGGAGTTTTCGACAGGTATAGCAAAAAAAGTAGTTTTTATCAGATTCTATAACAGACATCTGTAGTTTCAATGCGATTCTTCAAAGGTCACTTCTTTGTTCTGCTGCACCCTGCACAGTCAGAGGCGACTACCTTTCAAAAACTCCAAATATTTAAATTGATTCTGTGATTTGTTGCATTAGAAAGTTCTCGTAGTGGTTGAGTTTCACCTCGCAATTTAGGCGTTACTTATCGAGAAAGAATTAAATTTGACGGGTCTTAACTTCCCTGTAAAGTCACTTTATGTCTGCCTATTTTTTTCTTGTTTATTGCAGTTTCTGCACTTGTGTTTTTTATTGTAAATTTGACGTTCGTGTAAAATCATAAGATAATTTGCAAATTGTCCAAGCTTTTTTTGTGTGATATGTAGACCGGTTCTAGGAGCTTTTTTTTTGTATTTCTGCCATGGTTACGGAGTTGTCAGAGTAGGTAAAGAAGTGCGCTGATTTGCTGTTTCAATGACACGAAGAAGTAAGCGTCACTGAAACTGCTGGCCGACAAAGCACAGAATTTAACTTTTTCTAAAACTAAACTGAGTGATTTTTGTTCTTGAGTTGTTTGTTCGTCAAAATCATACGTTTGCTCACTTAGCCCGCAATGTGCGCTACCCAATATTACGAACGTTTTCTAGGCAGAAGAATACTGAGTTATTTGTCAGCAGTTAAGTAAAAATAAGAAACACATTTTTTGTTAGAATTATGTTTGCTATGATTCATTACTTAGTCCCAACCATTTGTAATAGTACGAAGTTACTTTTACAGTAATTGCATGATGAACTTTCAAAACATCTCAATTTTCTCGTTTTTTATGGAGTCCTGCTTATGTAGAAAGTTAGTATTTTATGGGTTCCTCCATCAATAACGCGGAACGATAAACGGGAGTCCCGCAATTCGACCGAGAACGCGCTAGAGAGAAATCAGAAACCGCAGTGAGAAGACATTCGATTTCGTGGTATTAGCTGCTTAATGCCAACCTGCCGCTAACCAGGGACCTAGAGATTTTCCACCATCTCTCCTTTCTTGATTTACCTCCTTCAAAGATTCTGAACACTTTTCTGTACCGAAGTACTTCGACGACACTGTTGGATAGAGTAAAAGATAACGTGCAGTTGGTAAAAGTAACGGATAAAACACGAAGATAAGTTACTTCTCGTTAATCGACAGTTACAACAATACGATCGTAACTGTTCATGACCAATTTATGGAGCATGACGAACACAAACACTAGCAAAGATCATATTGCTAATTTTTACTTAATAGTTAACAAATGGTTAAACATTTTTTTATAAAACTGATGTCACGCTTAAAAAACAGCAGTGCGAAGCGCATTTTTTGGTCATTTCAAATAACGCGTGATAGTGGAGAATAAACAAATGAAAATAACAACAGACAAAAGTCACGTCATTCTTTAATTAAAAAAGTTGGTACAACTTGTATTTCCTGCCAAAAACTGCCACTGGTCGCCTGGTGCCAATGATGCAAGCGCGTTTCCTTATGTCATGAATGTACAAAGAAATTCCTAGAGGCGATCTAGGTATACTGTGAGAAACCTTATCAGTTTATATAACGCTCTGTTATCTTAATAAAGAAATCCCCTTTACAGTCCACAGGGTAAGGTAAGTGCAGGAATGACGTTTGACAAAAAAAAAAAAGACTAAACAGAAACTAACTGGAGGGAAGTTCAGGTTCATCGGCGGTGACACTCTCTTGAAGCGCAATACTCATATTCGCCGAGCATTAAGGTCTGGGAAACATGAGGACTTTTTGCTATAGCGGATCATGGGATTAACTTGGAGGTTAAAGCGGTTGTAATTTGCATTCCACTCCGAGGTTGACAACTAGTCAGTGCGGTGGGATTTCGACGCTTGGTTTTGTAGCTTCAGCTTGTTGTTTGCTGACTGTTAACGTAGTTTTAATGTTAATGTAAGTTGTGGCAGTGGTGGGTTCAATAGCCAGTTGTAGGTCAGTCAGTTTTTGTTTAAAGCAGAGTTCCTACAAATTGTGAGTACGCATAAGTTTCACTCAGGTTTCACTCAACTCCCGTGTTGTATAAAAAAAAAAACAAGACATTTCTTCACCTGGAAAGGTAAAGCCACCTGATGAGGAACAGGCGTAGATTGGATTTCAGTTAGTTGTTCGCGGCTTTCTGGTCGAGTTCTAGCGAAAGTGAAGATAAATTTGTGGTACCAGATGAGAGCATCGCGACTACCCGTTGTAACGCATGGTTCCTTGGCTTGTTTAATATAATTTAGTTTTTTTATTTTATTTAAGAGTTCGTGGACCTTCTTGACGTCTATTTCGGTGTGCCGCTCACACAAACCTGCATTCTGCAGTGGTTCTTCAAAAACTTGGAGAGGCTTGTGATATGAATTTTGGGTATGTTTATGTTAAAATCATTATTTTTGGAAATGCTTGTTCATGGTAAACAGAAGTTTGCTTGTTAAGTAGTTTTTGGGTTCTAGACCTTTTATAAGCTTACGTCTTCTTTATTGTCGGTGGAGTTGTTTAGAAATGGCTGGGTCAGCTAGTTTGCGTAATCAGAAGGAAGTAGTTACGCCACCTTTGAAAGGATCTTTTCTGCTTGATCGAGAAGGTAAATGTAAATTGGAGATGTTGGATTACATGCTTTGTTTGGACGAACGCAAGGTTTTGACTTGCTTGTTTTTCTTCTTTCTGAAATGGTTTTACGTTGTAATGCGTGTGCTGAAAGTCTCGTAACTTGTTTATTGTGAGCACGTCGTTTAACAGGTAGTTTTTCTGAACATAGGTTATTTTTCTCCAGAATGTTACTGAAAATTGCCGCTCTCTAGCTAAAGAGTATTTGGAGTGTCGAATGAAAAACAAACTGCTTGAACGCGACGACTGGGAATATCTTGGATTTGCAGATGAGAAGCCAAAGGTGGCCGGCGAAAATAAGGATAAACGTTGATCGGTTGGAGAATTTTTTTTAATGTTACACGGAATTTTCTGTACTAAAGTCTTTGGGGTTTTCCTCTGCTGTTTTATTCGTTTAGGCTGCTTTAGGTTTACAGTCGTACTAGCTTCCTTATTGATAAACTAATAATTTTCTTCTTGTCATTTAAAAGAATACTCAACATTGGTCGTGGCTACTGCTTAGAATGTTAGTTGCTTTACAAAGAGGTAAGCCACAGTTAGGTGCTGCATTTCTACCTTCAGTTTCGACCAGTAAATGACAGGCGATGGTGAAAAAAATAAAGGATATTTCGTTATAGTCATCCAACTCCAGGTTGAAGGATTGAGTTGCGAAGTAATTGTAGATTAGTGGGATAAAATTGATTTCGGTGAATCTGACGAAATCTTACCTATTGTACTCTTGCCGTTACTCCGCCTGTTCCTATTTGTCACAGCTTTAGCTAGCCACGGGCTCACGCCATATTTAGTCATGAATTTTTAAACATTTTATCTTACCCACCGTATAAGTTTGTCCTGTGCTACAAATTGTTCTTGTATCTAAAGTTTTTTTGTTCAGATAGGTAAGCTGTAATTTTTTAAACACCAATTTTTATAGCATTCAAAGGACTTTAGTTTGTGGAATTCATTATGACTTTGCTTGGATTAGTTTCAAGAATGAACGAGTGATTTGGAAGGGACGAGGAATTTTTGACAGAGTTACCGCTTATTTGCCAGGGGAATTGTCTGGCTCATAAGGAAATAAATACTTTGGCAGTATGAGATCAGAATTTAACTGCTTTGGATTTTGAACTTGTACAACCAGGGAGTTCACAGGCTTACGAACTGTCCATTTTTTTTATCTTGCAGAAATTGTTTTCTTGCTTTGTTGTTTGAAAAACCATTAATTTTGATCATTTCGAGGGATATTAGTTTAAGCTGCATCTGATTTTCTAATCATTAATTACGGGAAGAAATCACTAGAGACTGTAGTACTTTTATTATGAAGTTGAGACACTGGAAGTCATTTATTGACGTCAAAAGTGTATTTGTAAAATTAACAGACTTTATAATTGCAGCTCGTCAAAAAATGAAGAAAAATTGGGGGTAGTGAATTCATTGTAGGGTTTCAGGTGAAAGTCCTTAGGTTATCTACGGGTATTGGAGAACTGTGATTGTTGTGGCTAGCAGACTGTAGAATAATGAGTGGAAGATTGTCAGGAGATAGTTGAGCGCTAAGAAATTGATGAGATCAAATTACTTTTTAAAATTATGTGAGAACACTAGCTCTGGGGCAGCTTCAGGTGGATAGTATTATGTTGCTTGGTTCAAGTTTGTTCGAGAAATCGATTTTCACTCATCATTTGGTACTTTTACAGATAGAAAGAATTAGAAAAAATTTTTTTAATTTATTAAGTAAAGGGAGAGAGTGGTTAATTTTTCAAGCAACTTTAAGTCTGTTCAAGTAAATTTCCTAGCAGAAAGTACTTGAACGTAAAGACTGATCCGATTTTTACCGGGACTTTTGTGAGTAAGTCTAACGAAATGCGCTTTTTAAATTCTTCATGAATGACATGTTCCTATAATAGCGTATGCGTGCCACGAGATCATCTGTGAGTTGGGGCACAGTTTCTGGAAAGATTACTGGGAATCGTTGCGAGATAAACTTCATCTCATTCACTGGACTGTATAACTTTACTTACACGAAGGAATAAAAAGTTTTCTTCTAATGGCTTTTTAATATCTAAAAATGACTCAGGGTACCAGATTCTGGTATCCTAGTTGAAGAACGCGAAGTCTGTTACAATAAGATATTTAACAAAGCTCAGTAAATTTCAGGTTCTGAGATAACACTTAAAACTATTTGCTGCATACAGATACTTCTCAATTTTTGGTATCGCCTGACGAAGATTGGAAGCTTTTCCAGTAGAAATATATAGGTGTTATAATTTTTTACAATTTTTCTTTTTGCTTTTCGTTATAGCCCCTTGTTTCAAATTGGCATCTGTTTCTCCCCAAATTAGATAACTGCTTAGTACGGCACCCGCCGTTTGAGATACGAAGACAGGACTTGATTTTCTGGATCGATTTTGTGCTTACTTGATAAAGGTCACAAAAACGAACACTTTTGATTTGCGAAAGGGGTGGAAATGATGGTGAATTCAGGTAGGTCCCATCAACAACGATTGGTCTGTAGATCTTGTTCTGTGCATTAAATGACCTCATTGTTAATTGTAATTGTAACAGGTTAGCAATACGCAACCTTGCATAAATAATCATAGAAGAATTAAATCTAATGATTAGTAGTAACATTCTTATCTTTAAGTTTTAATTTTTTTCTAGTTATTCAGTACATACCTAATCCTTTTACTTTTAAATGGTGACAATATTTGAGTTTTCTTTAAAATTGTATAGGTTGACTGCCTGCATTAGGAGCTTAAGATCCATGTTTTTGACGCAGGAAAAGAAGAAGTTTAAAGCTTTTAGTTGGTAACTCAAATTATTCTAAAACCTATTTCTCCTTGCAACAGATTTCACTTTTATTTGTACCAAATGATTCACAAATTTTATAAGTCGTTTTTTCAATGAAACAAATTTTGTTGAAGTAACTAATTTCAACATATTATTCCGGTGTTATTTTTACGTAGCAGACTTCCAGTTTTGAAGGTTGGACGAAAACCAGAGAGAATCTC